GCCTCCGTTGCTATCCCACCCGCTACTCGGGAAACAGAAGGAAATCGCACTCAACACACTTGTGTGTTGGTGCCTTTCCTTCTGTTTCTCCTAGCTATTGCTAGCTACCCGGGCGGTTTAAGACGAATGTCCCGCTCGCCTTCTACTTTCGTTTAACTAAGTGGGCCTCGTAACTACCCTACTTTTCTTTCTTGCCCTCTTAGTCTGCTCTTGTTTCGTTGCTTTTTCTGTCTTTCTAAGGCTTTTTAGGTGTCTACTAGTTCTTCGTTGCGTCAACAATTTGGCGCTTTTTGTACAAATGTTCCCCTGGGAGTTAGGACGCTACTGGAGGCCCCTGGCCTTACTACTACTTTGACCGCGCCGAAAATGTGTGTCCACCCCTGGGCAAAAGGTTTTCGTCCACTGGTTCAGCGGTAGGGGGTGTCTTGAAAAAGCGCCGAAGCCGGCGACTTGTGTGTGTCCACCCCTGGACAAAGGGTTTCCTTCGACCACTCCAATCAGGCAGGGGGGCCAGGCCTGTCACATCCAACCTGGCCCAGCGAAGCTAGGATGTGACAGGGGAAGCACCAAAGGACGCTTTGGTGTGTACCTGCCGATTTCTCCACAAGCTGTGACTCCACTTTCCACGTTTTTGGTTCATGGTTCTTCATGATACTTCCCCAAAACCTTCCCTTTGCCGCGTTTGTCTTGCAGCTGAGCCGCGCCGACCGATCGTTCAGCAGACTTGACCAACAACTTGTTGAAACACCTACAAGTCTTTCGGACTCTTCACCATGCAGTTCTGTCACCTTCCTTCCCAGCGTGGTAACTGAGTTCACTGAATACAAGTGTCAGAGTGTGCATGTGCATGTTACATATCATATATACATATATCTATTTTTATGTATATATACAGTGACAAATGTATGTATATATATACACACATACATGTATATATACAGATGTATGTATATATACACACACCTTAAACTCAGCCCCGCGCAAGACAGATTTGGCCAAGTGCACATGCTTCATTCTTCTGAACTGTCGACGGGTGATGTTCAAAACGTTCAAAAAAGAAGGGGTTCATTCACCCTGTCACCCAGAGTTAGCTTTAGCATCGCCCTGATTAGTCACCCTGTCATCAAAGAACCACCGCCTGCCTCTGCGTTGCGCACAAAGATCACGAAGGCTAAAGCGACAAAGGCCTGCTTTGCTGAGTTGGCTCACCACGAAGTGGGCCGAGTGGGAAACCTCTGGAATGGTCCTTTTTGGGCGGATCACATTGAACTACACCGGCGAAGACCACAGATAGCAACTAACTCTTAAATCGAGCCCGTCACCAAAAGAGATCCAGAGAAGTGGGAGACAAGTAAGAAGACAAGGCGGCAGCGGCAAACACAACGCCAGTGGGAGACAAGGTAGCAGCGGCAGTGATGCCCCCCACCACGCCGCTCAGCCACCCAGTCACTGAGAAGTAAGAGCCACCATAGTTGTCAGTGTTCAGCTATCTGGGGGAAATGTGTTATATAATATATGTGATATTGTGGGTAAACTATCAGAAATCTCAACCCTCAATAAAATATGTCAAAGCACGATGCCATAGCCCTTTGTGGTTTCTATGTTTGGTCCCTTTATAGAGACGCAATCTTGTTGCAGTCTCTGTGTGCCAGCTTTTCCTTGCCCCGCCCTTCAAACATCTTTGCAACCCTTTTTCATGTCCGCCGGTGCCTGTGGCCCGACCCCAAATCCCTTTTCAATCCGGTTGCAGTCGCTGTGCACAAGTCGCATCAGGCTTACTTAATTTACTTTTACACAACAGCAATCATGTATGGCTTCGGTATGCTTCGGTTATATGCTATCATCCTTTTTCATGTCCGCCCGGACAAGTGGAGACAAGGCAGCAGCTGCAAACAAAGTGCCGATCACAAAGGCAGGACACCGTGTCACCTAAGCAGACAAGTGGGGAGACAAGGCCGCAGCGACAGGCAAAGTGCCAATGCTTAGAGGCAAACAAGTGTCGGAGACAAGGAAGGTGCCTCAGTGATCGGACACAGGAGATGCCAAGCGCGCCTTCGCCCATGGAGCAATCGCAGCTTAGTTCACACCAAGCGCAAGTTGACCGGAGCCATGAGTTGATTCGGGAAACCAACCAACGGGCGCACGGCTCGCCTGTCCTCTCTCTAATTAAGGTGGCAATGAAAACAGACGAGATTGAAAAGTAGCATGATTGAACTACTTCCCTCTCTGTTTCACGCCCAATTGGAGAATCTTTTGCGACCGGGGCTGCCTGCGGGGAGAGCGAGGCTATGGTCCCTGGCTGTACTTCTTGATACTTCTTGACAAAGGGGGTCTCCAACTGCAGAACAGCTGCTGCTGCAGCTTTTATATACTAGTAGCTTCTTGTTCTTAATAGCGATGGCCTCCAACCTACTTGCGATGGCCTCCACCTAATAGCGTCCTTATACAAGGCTGGGTAGACCGGTTGCCCTTGGGCGCCCAACGGATCCAGGCGCGATGATGAAGAGGATGATCTCCTCTCAGACGCAGCGGTGGACGGAACGGACGTACCGCCCACGTCGGTTCCATCGACCATCCCACTCGACCCTCCCACAGCGGTGGACTGGACGTGAAGATCACCGTCCCATCGAGGAAAACGTACGAAAGAGGTGATTGAACACATGATGTCGAGACCTGAACCTCGCACACACACGACCTTGCTCTTGCCAACCATCACAATCCGCTCCATCAATTCGACGTGAACAAATACCGAAAAACAAGCATGACGCAAAGTCCAGCCAAGAGACCGCATCAAACAAGAATATGGAACAAATATGCAATGTACTTCACAATTCATCTCCAGCAATTGCCGAGCCCCCGGTGCCCTCCCCAATCGAACTCCCTCGCGAGAGAGAGTCCATCTTTTTGCACTCGCTCGGTGTGGACTCAAGTGACAGAGAGACGGAGGAGTGCCCCGGAGTCGACGTTCGGTCGACCGGTTTTGGGGCGTTGCCGGGGCGGCGAAGGCGAATGCCATAGGCCCGGTCAAGAGTTCGAGCTGTCCATGTAGCACTTTTAGGACCATCACGAAGCCAACAACTGTTTGCAGTACTGCCTAGCTGGCATACCTGATGCGAAGGTGGGGGCACCTAGCTGTTCAAGTATTAACCAAAATGTGGTGTAAACGTGTCTGTGTAGAGAAGCAAAGTCCCAAACTTAGGTCTGCCTAATTGCCAAGGGTCCCTTGACGGCTTGTCTCGTCCTTCCTCGCACCATTCGAGATTGGAAGGCCTAGCCTGGAATCCAATCCCGCCGTCTTCTCTTGTCTTCAGCCTTCCTCGCTGACCTGCGGGTCGAATCATTTCTGGCAGAACGTGGGCTCGCCCAGTTCGAGGACCAATCCGCCTTGAACCTGGTCCTTTGCGTGGCTTGCGCACCTGGTCCTTTCCTTGTCGCTCCTCTTTGCGCCATTTCAGGGCCATGAGAACCCTTTTGTAGTACTGCGCAGAAATGGTGTATATGTCAATATGTATACGTATATGTATACATACGCACAATATTGAGATGTTGTAAAAGAGATGGAACACTCAACAAATCGGGATTTGCAGGCATCCGCTGCGAAAACGCGAAAGACGACAAAAAAGGGCAAAAACAGCGAGATCCTGGACAACAGGCGACAACACAAAAACCGCAAAAAGGCGAAACTGGCTAAAGGCGCAAAAACAACGAGATTGGGGAACACCGGCGACAACGCGACAACGCGAAACACATGCCGTCCCTGGAGCCCTTTGCATCAATTTCTTCAACTTTCCCTTTTTGACGCACAAACATGTTTGGTTGGAATTGCCACGTTGTTCAACCCTTCCAAAATGCCGAATTCGGTCAGCGATGCCTCATGGTGCCACGTTTTCTGTCTCGTTTTGGCCGGTCGGTGCCACCTGCACTTCACCGTCTTTTCGTACCAAACATGCGTCAAAGAAATGAAGGACCCCGCCTACGTTCGATGGGGCCAGCGGCCCTCGGGTGGCTCCCTCTCAATCAGCAAACAAAATCCTTGTTCATACCAGGAGTCACATGTCGGGGTGGTGTTTGGTCCCTAAGTGAGTGGATGTTCTGGGCACCCCTATCCTCCATTAAGCACCCCTGCTGGTATAGAGCCTTTTTGTGAAATTCATTGAGCCAGGCTCTAGGCCTCAATTGATGTTCTACAGATCACTGGTCAAATACTCGCAAACCCCTGGATGAACTTTGAGCCGTGTCCTCGTCCCGGGCCCCTAACCTTAAATGCCCCCAGAGTCGTAGCCCGCAGTTACTGCCAGCTTTTCCATCAGCTTCATGTGTTTTGATCAACCCTTTTCGTCAACCCAGCCCTTAGGCATGCTCCCAACAGAACGGGCACTTTGTAACAATAAGTAGGAGGACCTCTGACAAAGAGCATGACATGTGCTTCAAATCAGTCTTGCTCAAATGTAGGGATGTGATAAGTCGAATGATGTCTTGCTGAACATTCAGACATCAGGGCTCTGCGGATGTTGGTGGATGATACATGGCTTTGCACCTCCTGCGAATACACTCCTTTTCAAGAGACATCGTGAAAACTGCCTTTGGGCAAACCTTGCCTCTTGGAAGCAATCGGCAACCAACAAAGACCAGCAGGCTGGGCAAAGGTTCTATTAAGAAGCACCTGCGCTGCTGCGTTTCGGCCGTGCCAAATACCGGCCCTTATCATCCATCCACAAGGCTCAGCTAGAGCTCAGCACGCTCAATGACTGTCTAATGGTGAATTAAACCGGCACATTGCGTTAAAACACTTTAAAGAGCTGCTCCCCTCAGGCCCAAGCCCGGTTGTTGCCCTATTTTCGGACAAGAATGGGAGGGAACAGCGGGAACAGCAGCAAATGGCTGAGAAAATTCGCGAGCCAGCATGTCATGATATGTCATAATCTGCTATGTTCACTCGAGCTCATTTGCATTGATATGCAGTTGGAGGGACGTCCTACACACAATTGCAGGCACTCACTCTAGAGCTGGTTCATGACCAGGGTCCTCACATCCTGTTGCTCTTCCAAAGCAATGCTGCACCTATCATCGTCGGCCGCATCAAGGTTGAAAGTACTTGATGTTGACACGCGTGTTGTGCAACCTGCCAACTGGTGACAGAAGATCCCAGTATTCCCAAAATTTGAAAACAAAACTCGGTGCAACTTGGTCAGCAGGGTAGCCGTGTTCAGCAAACTGCAAAGTACAAACTACATTCAAGCCCTGGACTGTAGTAGATACTGGCGCAACATTGCTGTTTTCGATGATCCAGTGACTTGGAAATTAGCTTGATTTAAAAACAAGCAATCTTAGGAACAACCAAAACGAACATCAATGTCATCTTTGCAGCAACCAACGGTCAAATCGGCCAAGTAGACCCTTATACTTATTCGAGTGCTGCGGGGTGTACACCTAACTTGATTCATAAATGCACCGGGCCACTGTCCAACTTCAGAAAGGGCGGTCCTTTGCGCTGCAATCTATGATACACAATGTTCTGAACAATCCGAAATCCATTCAGCAAAACCAGGGCCTGAAACAATCGTAAAACGTGCAACTACTCTTGCTGCTTAAAATATGCAAACCTTTTGCATCGCTGATGCGAAGGCTCCCCTTGCAAAGAGCACTGACTCTATTGGAACTTGCTACTCTCAACTAATCGCTGCAAGGATTGGGCATAGGTTCAAGGTACAGAAGCACTTCTACCATAGTCACCTAATGCCATTCTCATTCAGGAAAACTCTCTTATGATCCGTTTCCGCCGTGAAACAGAAGGAAGGGATATGATGCGAACGGACCATCCACGTGACTTCAAAGTCACTGGCACGACTTCGGAAAAGAAACACAGTGTGTAGTTGCCGTTGTTCATGGCTAGGACAGATTGTCTACAAAGATCTCAAACATAAACAGATTACCCACTATATATGTTTTTATCTGTACTGTATGATTTTATATTTATGTAACAATTAATGAGGAATATTGTATATACAATCAGGGCCCACCAGTTGGAAACTGATCTGCAAGCCGAATTGCGGTCTAATTTTGTTTGGACCTAAAATGCAAAAACAAAACGTTGCAAAAACCCATTCAAAGGAGGCGTTCTTTTGAGAATTGGCAGGACCTGCTTTGGTCGCCCTGTTGTCTTGCAACCCCTCCCTTGGATGACCGCAAGCAACGTTTTTTCCCTTTGCGGGACTGCAGGAACCACAGGTTGAGTGAAGAACGAAAAGTGCGCCAAATCTTGCGCAGCGGCAAAATAAGACATTTGAGGTCACCAAATGTTGCGCCTGCCACGAAAAATGAAAGCAAAGGTATACCAAATGCTGCGCATGCCATGAAAAGTGAACACATAGATTCACCAATTACTGCGCCTGCCACGAAAATTGAAACTACAGGTTCACCAAATGCTGCGCATACCACGAAAAATGACAACTTCAAATGCAGCGGTGTTATTATGAGACAATCACTTACATTGCGTTTCACGAATTCAGCGGCAAGCCAGCGCGGGCACACGAAAACGCAAAATCATAACGTTGTAATCCAACGTTACGATCCGTTTTTGGCGACAGTTTCACAAAACAGTGAAAATACTAACGTTGGACGCGGTTAAAAAAATCACATGGTCTATTTTTAAAACGCGTCCAACGTTACGATTTCGACTTCTGCCCCATGCCTGCCACGTAAAACGAGCATAACGTTGGATTCCAACGGATTGCAACGTTACGATTAAGCGTTTCGCCACACGTTTGGCCACCTGGAGCTTCAAATTCTTTGCGCCTGCCACGAAACATGAAAGCTGAGATTGGCCAGATGCCGCGCCTGCCACGAAAAATGGAAACAGCGGTTCACCAAATGTTACACCTGCCACGAAAAATGGAACTAGAAGTGTGCCAAATGCTGCGCCTGCCACGACAAATGGAAAGTTCACCAAACGCTGCGCCTGTCACAAAAAATGGATTTAGAGGTCTACCAGATGCCTGAACTTTATACTCGAGTGTTCAATAAGATTGTTTCCACGCCCGTCACGCACTGCCACGTTCAACGCCTGTATTTGGGAGCTTGCTTCTGGGCCCTCAACAACTGGTGGTTTTGGCTTCAGCATGGTGTACCCTCACAGTGCTGGAGATTTGCAATTTGCAACGGATGCCTTGCAGCAGCCGCCCTTCTACCACTTGGGGCGCATTCTGTTGATGCTTGCTCAATGATATTACAGGCTCAAGCCCAACTGCATGCCAGCGCTAGGCTACAGCCGCCCAGCTTGCTGCTCTCCCAAGTGTTCCTGATGATGACCCCATTGCCTGCAGTCACTTGGAGTGCTTCCACAAAATTCTACAAGCTGATGGGAGAACTTATGGCGGGGCTCGGATGCAATTTACTTCTTGTTTTTGTTTGGTATTTTTTCGTGTTTCGTGGCCGGCGCAGTACTTTGTGGACCTTGAAGTGCAGATTTCGTGGCAGGTGCAGGACTTTGTGGATGTTGAAGTGCAGCTTTCGTGGCAGGTGCAGGACTTTGTGGGTGTTGAAGTGCAGATTTCGTGGCAGGTGCAGGACTTTGTGGGCCTTGGAGAGCAGATTTCGTGGCAGGCACAGTACTTTGTGGACCTTGAAGTGCAGATTTCGTGGCAGGTGCTAGATAGCTAGATAGATAGACAGATAGAAAGATCAACAGATAAATGGATCGATAGATACATAGATAGATAAGAAAGAAAGATAGATAGATAGCTAGCTAGGTAGATAGATAGATAGATAGATAGACAGACAGATAGATAGACAAACAGATAGATAGATAGAAAGAAAGATGGATAGATAGAAAGATAGAAAGGTAGAAAGAAAGATAGATAGATAGATAAATCGATAGATAGATTAGTTAGTTAGTTAGTTAGTTAGATAGATCGGAAAGAAAGATAGATCGGAAAGAAAGATAGATCGGAAAGAAAGAAAGAAAGAAAGGAAGCAAGGAAGGAAGGAAGGAAGGAAGAAAGACAGGCAGACAGACAGACAGAAAGAAAGAAAGAAAGACAAAAGAAAGAAAGAGATAGATAGATAGATCGATAGACAGACAGATAGATAGATAGGTAGATCGAGAGATAGACAGATAGATCGATAGACAGACAGACAGACAGCCAGCCAGGCAGACAGACAGACAAACAGACAGACAGAGAGAGAGAGAGAGATAGATAAGATGAGATAAGATAAGATAAGGTACGATACGATAAGATTAGATTAGATTAGATTAGAAAGAAAGAAAGATAGATAGATAGATAGAGATAGAGATAGAGATAGATAGATAGATAGATGTAGACAGATAGATATAGACAGATAGATGGATAGGTAGACAGATTTGGGAGCTGTCGTAGCTGGCATAATACATTGGAATAGTGTAGGTGTCAGAGAAATTCCTACCTATCACAACAGCTTGGTGCAGTTAGCAGAGAAACAGCAAAGAGAAAAAGAACTAGCACAGAAGGCATATTTGCTTGGTTAGAAATTGTTGCACTGGGGAGTTCACCTTAAAATATTGATTTCGTGGCAGGTGGCCTCCGACTTGACATTCCTCCAAAGATGGACTAGTAGCAAACAGCCAGAAGCCACGAGAGCAACGAAAGCCAAACGCCACAAAAAGCCACAGAAGCCACGGGAGCCACGAAAGCCAAGAAAGCCAAAAGCCACAGAAGCCACGAAGGCCAGAAGCCACGAAAGCCAAGAAAACCAAAATCCGCAGAAGCCACGAAAGCCACCAAAGCCAAAAGCCACAGAAGCCAGAAGCCACGAGAAACAAAAAAGTCCTAAAATAAGACAAGCAAATCCTAAATTAAATGGCCCTCCCTTATGACGGGCAGCTTTCTACCGGTGAAGCTCGTTCCCTTCTGCTGTGGACATCCTTGCAGCCCTGAATCTTTTTGCAACTCCCGAATGCAAAAATTGCGCAAAACGGTCCTCACAACCAGCGCCAAAATCGAGGCTGAAATCCGGGCGCCATTTCTCTTCCACTGCCATAATGCGGCCAACATTTTGAGCCCTCCTGGCGGCCTCGCTTTCTGATCCTCTTTTGTGAAATTTTCGCCGCCTGTCCGCCCATCCTTCCGGCATTGAGCAACCTGTGCGTGGGCCACGCATGTACGTTGGCGGCAATGCTTCCGGGCATGTCTGCCACGCTACTGCATGGTCTATCTTTGCCGTTGCCCTTTGTTGCTGTCGCGTAGTCAAACAGCTTCCTACGCGTGTGTTTCTGTTGCAAACTTGCCTGGGCGCAATAATAGCACATCCAAGTTTGCGGGCACAATTTTTTTGATAAGACTTCTATCCAACAAACCCAAATCAGTCATCATTGGAGGTGTGCAGTGGACGCCGCGACATCACTAGCCTGCACGCTTGCTTGCTGACACAAACACACACAGTATATACATAGTTACGTAGGTTCTTTTGAGTGATTGGGGGCCACACTTGAAAACCGAATACTATCCAGCAGCGAAAACAAATAAAAGTACCTCGGCTAACAACGCACCAGGATGCATCATAAGAGACCATTAAAGAACTACTGAGAACATCAATTCTTCCTGCTTCAACCCCCCAACCATCCCCAACCACCTGGATTGGCTTCCAAATCGTTTCCATCCACTTCCACTTCTGCGTCTTGTCCATCTTCCTTCCTGGTCAGTGGCTCATCATCATCATCAAAGTGCAACGCGGAGTTGGATTTTCGGAGCTCCGTGGCAATCCTGTCGATCGTCGCCGGCCGGCGGCCGACTCCACCGGCGCCGGCGAACGAGACGCCGAGTTGGGCCGTGGGTCATGGCACCGAGTAACAAGGATGCTACGAACGGAGCCAAGGGTATCGCTACGAACGGAGCGTTCGGACGCTAGAAAAACCTGGCTCCTGGCCGTACTACTACTAGTAACTATACGAGTAACAAACTAGAAACTCTTGTTTTTCGCGCTGAACATGCAACAGAATCGATGAAAGGAGGCGAACCTAGCAGGGTCAACCAGGCTCCGGGTTTTGACTTGTGTACCCACTTCTCTGCGCCGATTCTCACCACGAGACCCGATTCCGATTCCTCGATGGTGGAGGCGCCTCAGACAAGTCCCGTCCGGGCGTCGTTTTCACCGAAACCTCGTCTTGGCCTGGGGAATGGTTGTGCATCTGCATCTCACGTTTGAACCCTCAAGCGATGTCGTTTCATCATTTCATGTGTGTGTGTGTGAGGTTTTCGGTGGTTCTCAGCTTGCTCGACTTGAGTCGCAAGCATAATAAATCTAGAAGCAAGTGTTGTGGTATGTTTCTCGAGGTGCGCCAAAAATATCAAAAATCTTGCGAAGATGATCCCTCATGACTGTGACAAATTTGATGTACATCATTTAGCGACTTTTCGCTGGTGAAAACGGAGCAATCTGCACCTAACTCACAGGGAGATAATTATGCATATATTCTAATGATGTTTATGGTGACCTGGTGAGAATCTCTGACGTGCAACAAATTCTCAGAGTCAGTATGACCAGATGGGTTTGGGACCGGATGTTAGTCGCTGATGTCGAGTGTTGCTACTTAGATGCTCTTGGATTTCACTCCCGCGTTGTTTCATCTCAGGCAGCTTCCCTCACCCATCCTCACCCCCTTTTCCCAGCTCCTCGCGGTGTCCTCAGATTGGCTCGGGAAATTACAAATTCGTAGGTGTGGAACTCCCAAATTCATGCGGAATCAAACATTGATGACAAAAGAGTCCATTGAAAACAAAAAAACTCATATCTTCTCCACGTGTCTTGTCTCATCCCAAGTGCGCTGTTCATGCTGGCGATATTCTGTGCAGCTTTGGTCTTGATCCGGCCACTCCCCGTGAGTTCAGAGACCGTCGAAAAGACGCTTTGAATGGAGACGGCCGACGGCGTTGAACTGCGCTTCCTTGGTGGGCCAAAGACTGCTAGTTCTGATTGAAGCGGTGGTCAATTGAAAGCCGAAAAACAAAATCTGAAATCAACATCCTTGCGTCGGTTGAACCAGGAACGCCACGTTGACCCATTTTTCAGAAAACGTTCAGGCTCAATGAGGCCGTGAACATGTCATGGCACATGGACCGAAATCCGTTGATCCGTCGACCCCAGCAGGGGGAGCGCGCCAAAGAAGTGAAGGAGGAGAGTGGTTGATTGTCACGTCAAAGAGTGGAGCAGTCGTCGATGGCCATTGGCAATTTCGGAGGGTGCAGGCAGACAAGCTAGCGGTTTGGGATATTAAGCAGAGCTCTCCCTGAGAACAGCAGTCGATGGTGTGCACCAGCTTCGGGGGCCCGCAGGGGTTCGCGAGCGGGAAAGACATGTTGGGCAGTTTCTTTCCGGGGAGCATGGGATCTTGGGGAAGCAGTTTCGCGCAGAACGAGATGGGTGAACAGTGAAGAGCGTGGCTGAGGGCAAGTAGAGGGCACGTGAACCCCAACTTGGCTGTTCCAACGTGTACAGAACCTTGTGTTTTATGCTGTTTGCGTGTGATTGCTGCCTGCCCCCTTTTCTGGGGTGCGTATTGAGCGCTAACATACCTTCAAGTTCACACCATGTATTCTTAAGCAAATTTCACCCACAATATGGTGGTGGTGCCGAGCATCTTGCACCCTTCTCAGACTTTATCTTGCGAGCGAGAAGCAGCGCTATTTATGCGTTAAAGTCAAAGTCATCTATGAACCTGAAGTAGAAGAGGAAAGCATCCTGTTGCCGACTACAAACATGTATATATACAACCGCGGCCCTTTGTGCCCCAACGTCCGAATGTGATGGTCACAAGGACCACTCGGACGTTTTGGAAGAAACCACGGGACAGGTCGGTTCAACGCTATAGATGGTAAATGATGGTACAATTCCGAGACGCCTAGACCAGCGGTGGGGGCTGTATGCCAACTAGTCCGAACTCGACGACTTCAGCCGCAAAGGGTCGATTGGGCCGGCGCCATGATTCCCAACTCTGCCTCCAGAATCACCAGCGATTTCAACCTCCAGCGATTTCAACGGATGTTACACCCTTGCTTCTGGCTAGTTTTGAACACACACCTGGTGCTTTTGGGGAAATGACTGTCATGCCGCCCCCAGCTGGTGCGGACGAGTCACAGCATGCGGACATCATAGCTCCCAAGCTGCTCCAGTCGCTCCTCAGTGGAGCAGCGCTCCGGTGGAGTCTTCGGTGGTTGACCAACAGCGACGGAGCCGACGGAGCCATGAAACGATTCCGTGGGTTGGCGCAGTGTGAGTCCCCTGAAACCAATGGAATGGTCAAATGGAGTTTTTCCCCCCACCCACCTGAGGATTTCAGTGTAGACAGTAATTTCAATGTATTCAAAAACACAACCTCTCGTCTATGGACGTGGGTTCCCCACTTGCCCAATTCCATCTCCAAGTGCGTTCTACACCATTTCGACCATCCCTTAGGACATCTTTTTTCGGACATAAAAATGTGCATCTCCAAAAAATGGCCGCCAAACCTCTGGGAAGATAGGTGATGGTATATACAGCTTGGGAGTCCACATTTTTGGAGAAGCACGGATTCGGTCTGAAGCAAATGGATTCGGTTTCGATCAAGAATTCCTGCTCCGTCTTGCACTTCTCCCAGCCTTTGGACAGAATCCGCAAGAGCAGCAGCAAGGTCCTGGAGGCGGCGTTCGGAACGGACCCTCCCAGCACCTGTGCTTTTGTCGTTCGGTGGGCCACTGAATACGCATGGATTTTTCAGCGGATCTGAAGATATAGGAGCAAGGACGCTATTAGGTGGAGGCCATCGCAAGTTAGGTTGGAGGCCATAGGAGCAAGAACGCTACTAGGAACAAAGGGCCCCTTTAATCAGCCTTTGCGGCTGTAGAACACGACACCCTGCACTATGCAAAGAAACATGTTTTTTGCTGGAAATGACCTAATGTGCCCATACATCCTCGACCGTCCGACACTCCAGTGTATGTTAATATGGAGACCGGGAGACCCCCAACAAATAGGTTTGGTCTATTTCCCTTCTTCTAGGGGTCGAACCGGGAGGTCTCCCTATCCCATACAATGTGTGGGCCGGCCGTCCTGGACTCAGGCATGTTGCCCAGGTTGCTGCAGCGCTTTCCCAGTGCTGGGTAGCCTAGCTTCTCAAGAATGATCGCGGCAAAGAACACCAAGAACACACTGCCACAGATGACCTCGATTCGGCTTGTTTGCCGTCCTTCCTCATTCCTCCCACATCCGAGCTTTGGACTCAGTGGCAACCTGTAACCTGCCTGTCTCAAGAGCAACTGGTGGAGTTTTTGGGTAAGAACCTTCTGTCACGGTTTGTATGCACTTTGAGGTTGCTAACCAGGTATTCTGCTATTTCCGTAACTCGGAAGTTTCTCCTTTGGGTTTCCGGAATTTACCCTGCTTGGTTTTCAACCCTCCAGGAGGCGTCAAACACCCATGTTCACGGGAGAGGAATGTGCAATCTCAGTGTATCTGTCATGCCTTGATGTTCTATTTTTCTATTCGCAATGCTGTTCTATGTTTCTTGAATTGCGTTCTTCTCGTCCTGCATTTCTTCCTGTATGTGTTTTTGTCCTTCCTTCCTTCCTTCCTTCCTTGCTTCCTTCCTTCCTTCCTTCCTTCTTTCCTTTCTTCCGTCCTTAGCATTTGCAAATCCATCTATCTGTCTGTTTTCGTTTTCATCTATCCCTCTTTTTTCCTATGTTTTCTCCGTTCTGTCCTTTAATGTGTTATTTCCTTTTGTAGTTGATGTTTGTTTGTTCTTTCTAGCTATTTGGTTCTCTTTGGTTGCCTTTCTAATTTGTATCAGTTTTTTGCTTCGTTTCCGCCTGTTCTTTCCTATTTTAAGTTTTTGTGTCGCTGATCTCTTTATCTGCTTCCCTTTTTGCTATATATATATATATAGATTTTTTCAAATCTCTCTTCCTATATTTTTTGTCTATCCCTCCTTTCCATTTGCGATTGTTAATTTTGTTTGCTCTTTTGTATTGTTCAACTTCGTGCAAGTCCCAGCGGCAAAGAACACGATGCACACGATTGCACCCAGAACCTCCAGAAAGGGAGTCGCCTCAGCGTCCTTCTGAATGCTACCCAAGCCAATGCCCAGCAAGGTCACCAAAATGCAATTCACCACCTCACGAAAAATGTGAGGCATGCCTGAGGTCTCTGCCTCATGTCAGTGCGTCTGCAACCGTTAATGAACAAAGAATGGGGTGGTACAGGTGTCTCTCTGTATGTATGTATGTATGTATGTATGTATGTATGTATGTATGTATGTATGTA